ATACTTTCACATGGCCCAAGTTTGGACTGCACTGTTGCATGGCGCGGTAAGAGTGCCACGGATGAGCCTTGCCATTCAGTAGTTCAAGTGCACCGCAGGAAAAAAGGGCCGCGATAGCTTAAAATTGATTCAACATTCCCAAGCCAAAACGGCCCGTCGCGGGTAGCGAACGCTCATGGTGAGGGCACTCAGGCGAGACGCCGTCCTCCATGGGCCGCCACCTAGGGTTGTTAGCGCCCGCATTCGCTGCCACGAAGTGGATATCAGCGAATTCCAGCGGATTCCTGCTTCATGGGCTCGGCAGGCCAGATTGCAGCAACAAGTTTTACCTTGAGCGTCGTCTAGCAGTGTACGGTAGAAACTCAGACTTTTACATGGGACCAAAGTTGAGCTCCCTCTCGCTAACAGGTGGACAAGGTGGCACAGAGTTGCCTACCCATGCGCTGTTCAATTCAAACATCTCTCCCCTCCTGGTGACCGTTTTCTGATTCATTGTTTTGCCGATCGGCGCGGGCCCTCGCACCCGCCTTCCCCCCCCATGCAGTAGATCGTGGCGGTTTGGGGCGCCTGTTTCGACCAGGTGGAGTCTCCCCCACAGGACGCACTGCTGCAAACAGCGTCGCTGAGCAGAGGTCCGGGGCCAGGCCCGCCTCCGCCCAGTGTCGAAACGCTGAGCAAGAAAACGTTCACCTGTCCTTCCCTCCGCTGTCCCTCCTCCTTCGCCCTCCCCGGCAGCTCGGGCGGTAGCCACCGTGCGGTAGCCGTTTCCCGCCGCCCCTCTGCGGCGCAGGCCGCGAGGGCAGAAGGGAGGGCACCGCCGTGGTGGACGGCCCCCGTGCCCGCAGACGCGAGGGTTCGAGGAGGAGGAGGGGGGACGGGGGAGGAGGAGATCGGATCACCGAGCGCGTTCCATGACTCGCAGAGTGCCCACTCGCAACCGTCCGAAAAACACATGTCTGCTTCGACGTAGTTTTTCGTATTCCCCCCGCGGCGGATCCAGGCCATCTGCGAGCAGTCACTCTGCGAGTAGTGGAACGCGCTCGTCTATCGGAGAAGAACAAGCGCCATAAACATAAACTTTGGCGCTCCGCGCGGATGTCTCGGATCCGCGCGGATCCCATAAATCCGCGCGGAGCGCCGAAAGTTTGTGTGTATGGCGCTTGTGTTCTCCTTCAGTAGGAGAGGGAGTCGGAGGCCTGGAGGTTGGCACCAACACCAAGATCGGCGGTGTGCTTCCATCGAGGGAAGTTGATCCCACGGTAACAGTTTGGCTTCCTAGGTGGCCGAAAGTTTACCACCAGCACCAAAATCTAGGATCATCCTCCCCCCAGTGAACGCAAACCCCTGTTTTGGTGTCGGTGTCCATTTCCTACCCTCCAAGGGATGAGGACTTCGGCGGGGAGGAGGAAGTTGAGGAGGAAAGGGACGAGGGAGGAGAGGCGAGGGACGGCCGTTCTCCTCCCTGTGGTTACCCCCATTGCACCCCCTGGAGAAAAAAAACAGCGGCACAACCGTCATCTTGCGGAGCTCCGCGCGGATTTCTCGGACTCTCGTTGGGTCTCGCTGGCGGCGCCTCTGGGGGGTTTGGCGCCCCTGGCGCGCTCGGAGGGTGGTCTGACGCCCATCCAGGAATTCCTCGCGGCGCTTGTGTTCATGTCTTCTCTTCCAGAGGAGGAGGGGCGAGGAAGGAGGGACATGGGAGGGCCATCCTCCTCCCCGTTTTCCCCCTTCTACCCCCCCCCGGGTCAGCAAGTCGGCGCAAGTGCCGCACGCGCTGAGAGCGCTTGTCAATTTGGCGTCGACGGCACGGTGTGGTGGATACAGAGCCATCCGACCCGGAGTCTTGGCTCACCGAGTGCTGCTTTGCTTCGCTGGCTCGGCAGCCTCGAGGTGATCGATGCAGGATTCCAGGAATTTGCTCATCCACTCAGTTCTCCTCCTCCTTCTCCTCCCCTCCTCCTCCCCCTCCTCCTCCTCCTCCTCCTCCTCCTCCTCCTCCTCCTCCCCCTCCTCCTCCTCCTCCTCCTCCTCCTGCTCCTCCTCCCTCCTCCTCCTCCTCCTCCCTCCTCCTCCTCCTCCTCCTCCTCCTCCTCCTCCTCCCTCCTCCTCCTCCCTCCCCTCCTCCTCTCCTCCTCCTCCTCCCCTCCTCCTCCTCTCCTCCTCCTCCTCCTCCTCCTCCTCCTCCTCCTCCTCCTCCTCCTCCTCCTCCTCCCCCTCCTCCCTCCTGTCATCGGACCCCCGGAGTTCACTCACTCGCTTCTCCTCCTCCCCGCCCCTTCGCTTGGGGCGGGGGGGGAGGGGCGGGCCGGCGCCCCATGGCGGGGCCCCCCTCTTTCCGCCAGGAAGGGCCACGCAGCAGCGCCACGGGCGCCCGCGCGCCAGGCCTGACAGGTCTGAAAACTCGAAGCATCGACGGCGAGGGGGGGGGAGTAAGCCAGAAGGGGGGGGCCCTCTGAGAACCGAAGAAGAGAAACAATAAGAACAATAATAATAATAATGAAGAAGAAGGGTCTGGCGAAGAAAAATAATATTAACAACAAACTATAAGAAGAAGCATCGCCGTAAACACAAACTTTTGGCGCTCCGCCCGGACTTCTCGGATCCGCGCTGGGGCCCTCCTGGCGGCGCCTCCGGCGCCGCTCCTGGCGCGCGGAGCGCGCCAGGGAGGAAGGGTCCAGATCCAAGAATTCCGCGTGGAGCGCCAAAAGTTTTTGTTGATGCCGTGTTTGCTTCTAGAGAAGGAGAAAGCCTTCTCATAATGCGGCGGAACTTCTCAGAAGCCCCCTGGCCTTCCGAGAAGTGTCCTGCGTCTCCGGGGAAGGCTTCCACAACAGAGGCCTTCTGAGAGGTTCTCTGCGTCGTCGGCGAAGGTACAGAAAACTTCTCAGAAGGCTCGGGGACTTCCGAGCCTCCTGAGAAGACCCGCCCGCTCTCGTTCCCCCCCTGCTCTCGCCGCCGAAAGAAGGCATGACACCCCTGCGGCAGATGACCCCGAGCAACTGTCCACAGGGGCCTCGCAGTCCGCCTCCTGGCCCATACACTCTAGGCGATGCTTCAGAAAACCCAAGTTTTCGGCCAGAGTCTCGATTATTCTTAACGTTTCAATGTCAATCCTAAGATTTGAATGGGAACTTTGGGTTTTTAGTCAAGTTCCGAGAGTATGAATTTCTTAACCCATAATTTCTTAAGCATTTCGCAGGGTGTACTACAATTACGAATGTTGTTGAACGTTCAACTTACAAGGGTACTAACTAGGATCGAGTACGATTGTTACTACCTGCTAGCAATATTCTACACGAGTCGTGCGTCCGAACCACCCCCTCTGGAAACGAAAGCACACTGGCGGATGTTTGGCGTTGCTTCTTTCCTTGCCCTGACGCGAGCTTGTAACGGTCAACCCGCGAGGATAGTCTGTAGATTGTAAGTAACGATGGGGGGGCCATACCCACGGTATCGCCAGCTAGTTAGGGTCCTCTCGCGCGTGTACGCTTGATTACCCAGAGAGCAGCACCGTAGCAGCGCGCGGCTTGAAGGCAAAATGCAACATTTGTTGCAGCCATGAGCAGTTGTGCATATTTTTTTCTCGTGGGGTATGCCGTGTGCAGGGCTACGGTGTTGTGTGCAGGGCGTGCCACGGTTCTTAACACGTGGTAGCCATCACGGACATTAAATCATTTTATCACTAGTTGTTCGCATGACGTCTTAGACAATATCCTCGATCATGGCAGTATACGAACAAGCAGTGAAACACATGTGGGCTAGCCTGATCAGACTCACGACGAAAACAACAGCGAGAAGGACTAGGAGAACGATGAGGATGAGGAGAAGGAGTAGGACGAGCACGAGGACGAGGACGAGGAGGAAGGGGAGGGCGAAGGGGACGAGCTCGAAGAGGAGGACGATGACGACGAAGACTCTGGCAGCCGTCTTGGGAGGCCCTCGGCCCTTGAGGGCTCCCTCACGGCCCTGTCGGGGCCATCGTTGGACTACTTCGGACGGTCTCGGGGTCCTCGCCGGGCTTCTTTGCGGGGTCCTGGGGCCCTCTTGGAGCCCTCTCGGCGACCTCTTCGGAGCCTTGGGGGGCCTCTTCGGGCAATCTCGAAGGGCGTGCATCAGGGGCGGTCCTGAATTCAGTCCCATACCCCTCGAGCTCTTTGAAGATTGCCTCTTGCGGCCATGTGGGGGCACCCTTCGGGCGGTCTTGGGGCCGTCTTGATGCCTCAAAGCCGCATCGGGAGCGAAAAGGCGAGAATGCAACTGTCATGTGCATTCCTAAGGTTTTGATGGACTTGAGCCTATTGGGGAGGCCCTGAAGGGACCCCGAGAGCACTTGGAGCCGTCGTGTAGTCCTCTTGGGACCTCTTCGATGCATTTCGGAAGCCATATTGGAGCATCGGAGGCCGTTTTGGAGCCGTCCTTGGAGAAAAGAACCATTGGTCGCACATTGCGAAGCCAAGCAACAACTCTTGGGAGGAGAGGGGGAGAGTTTACCGTCTCCGAAAGGGAGTGGGTTGTGGCAGGGCTAGACCTAAACGCTGTTTTGCGGGACTTCGGCTGTGTTTTGTTTTTCGTTTTGAGAGGGAGGTACAGGAAGCCAGGCAGGGCAAAGCGAAAACAAAACGAAACACAGCGTTTCAGTCCAGCCCTGGGTTGCGGAAGAGGTCATAAGAACCCCCTTAGACCACCCACGCCCAGAGGGCTGGCGGGACTAATGAATATCACGGGAGACAGCAGGAGACAACGGGAGGCAGCGAGAGGCCACGACGCCCGCCCAGTTCGGGATTCAGCGATGCACCCACGACAACCCCCTCCTGCTCCTCCTCCTCCTCCTCTTCCTCCTGCACCCGAAGAGAGCCCCAAGACGACCCAAGGAGCTCCCAAATATAGACTCTGAAAGCGCCCAGACGGCCCAGGAGTGCCCTCAGGCGGCCCCAGGAGCACCCAAGAGCCCCCGCGGCGCCTCCAAGGTACAGCCGAGAGGCCCCAAGGGGCCCCCATTCGCTGCTGCGACTCTGGATACGTAGAGCCCCTTGCAGACTGGATGCTCGTGCGGAAACCAAGCAAATATGAAGACGCCCTCCGGGAGCTCAGCGCGCACCTCTTGGATAAGGGCTCCCTCGAGGGCGCGAAGTTATTCGCGCTTCGCGGTCCTCGTTCCTTCTCCCCCTCCTCCTCGTCCTCCTATTCTCCCTTTGGGAGGGCGGCGCGAGAGCGCGAAGTTATTCGCGCTTCGCGCAGCGCGAAGCGCGAAGTTGGGAGCCCTAGTTGGATGTGCGTTGGGCCCCATGGCGGCTCTTCCAGCGCCGCGCTCCGCGCGCTGGGAGGGGGAGGGGTCTACGAGCACTCGTCTCGAAATCCACGCGGATCCTAAATCCATGCTCCAATGGGGGGGCCCTCTGGCGCCGCGCCGATGCGGCATCCGCGCGGATCTACGAACGCACATGCCTGTGCAGCTGTGGGGCCCACCCGAGGGCGCAGCGCCGTCTCCCCGGGGTCCACCGCGGGGGCGCAGCGAAGCCTGGCGTGGCAGGCTGCGGTGGCCGCGCCCTGGCTCCGTGAATGCTTGCCGGGCAGCCCCCTTCTCGGCGGCGAGCGAGGGGGGGAAGCGAGGAGGAGAAGGCCTTCTCACCAGGCGGCGGGGCTTGTCAGGGGCCCATCGTGCCTTCTGAGACGTGATTTTGTCTTCGGAGAAGGCTCAGACAACTTCTCAGATGGCCGGGGGACTTCCGAACCTTCTTCTCTTCCTTCTCCGCCTCCTCCTCGTCCTCATCCTCCTCTTTCTCCTCCTCCTCCTCCTCCCCTCCTCCTCCTCCTCCTCCTGAGAAGTTCTTCTCCTTCTCACTTTCCCCCCTCGCTCGCCGCCGACCTTCGTGTGGACGCCTCGCTGGACGAGCAGGCGCAGTGTCCGGCAGTCAGGCGGAGAGAACAGGTGCCCATATAACGCTACCCCTCCCTCGGTTGTCCCGCTCTTGGGCCTCCTCGGAGGCCCTCGTCGCCACCGCTGGATTTGGATTCGCCTCGAGGCTCTGGTCAGAACGCACCCCCGGAGAGGTCCAGGGAGCAGCGGTATCGGTACCCATACCGCTACCCTTCCCTCGTGTGTCCCTCTCCTGGGCCTCCTCGGAGGCCCTCGTCGCCGCCGTTGGATGCGCCCCGAGATCCTGGTCAGAACGCCCCCCGAGAGGGGTCCGGGGAGTAGCGGTCTCGGCACCCTTCGGTTTCGCCGGACGAGCGGGCGCAGTGCCCATCAGAGGAGCGGGAGCTCAGGATAGTGATGCACAGGCCTGCCAGGATGTTCCAGAGCTTGGGGCATTCCACACGGGCTGCAGAAGCGAGGACCGCCAGATACACTCTTGCGAACATCGGATCGCACCTGGAGCCAATCCCATCGTTACGTCATTCACGTCCTGTTCCAGTGTCCAGCGTCCTCTCCTTCCCCGTCCTCCCATGCCATCATCCAGCGGGAGTTGGCCTTTGGAGCTCCTGTCGCAGGAGCGAGCCAAGCAGAAGGACGAGGAGGAGAGGCGGCGCAAGGAGGAGGACGAGGCGAGACGGAAGGCCCAGAAGGAGGCCGACGAGAAGCGGCGGCGCGAGGAGGAGGAGGCGCGGGAGCAGAGGGAGAAGGAGGAGCGCGAGCGGCGAGAGGCCGAGGAGCGGAAGCGGAGGGAGGAGCGGGAGGCCGAGGAGGCCGAGCAGAGGAAGGTGCAAAAGGCCGCCGCGGAGAAGCTGCTGGCGCAGGCCCCGCGCCGGGCGCCTCGGCTGCGTGCCGTCGGCGCCGCGTCGCCGCCATCCACAGGCGCCCAGCCTTGTAAGTCGGGCGTGCCCCTCGACAGGAGGACGATTCGAAAATGGTCCAGAAAATAGCCTTGGGACCATTCTTCGCGCAATCTCCACAATGTGTGATGATTGTTTGACTCTTTTCTTGTCTTTCTTCCGAAAAGCCGCCTGCAGGAGGACATGCCCGACCTCAGCCTAGCCGCTGGTCCACTCACAAGAGACATGCTGACCACCAGCGCACGTGTTGAGCTCTTAGATCTGCGACGCCCGTATCATAACGGTCCGACCTTTGGTGCGCCTCGGGCATATGATGTTCGGGATGCACTTCCGGCGAGGTGCATGTCGCTCATCGAGCTCAGACGTGGTCGTAGATTCAGAGGGGCAAGAGGTCGTGACAATGATTCGCTCCTGGATGTCCAGGGTTTCCATGGCTTCGGATGTCCCAGACGGGCTGCAGAAATGAGGGCAAACGGATACGATGGTTTTCCCGACGCGTGTCCTCAGCCAGACCCTATCATGACATCACTGTCGTCCCACATAGGTGCACGGCCGGGCTCGATACGGTATAAGATCGAGCTCTGTTCAGGGAGGGTACGCGACTGTTCTCAGGTTTTGTTGGATGCTGCGGTCGTTTTGTTATTCGTTGGTTTGCCGATCGGCCAGGGCCCTCGCACCACCCCTTCCCCCCTCCCTGGAGTAGATCTTGGCCTTGGCTGTTTTTGGGCACTGCTGCAAACAGTCAGCGGAGGTCTGGAGCCAGACCCCCCCTCCCCCCTTCCGCCCAATGTCGAAATGCCGAGTAGTAAAACGCTCACGCTCTGTTGCATCCTGGAGGAGGGTGCCCTCGAATGTGCTCAGTCGGACCCGTGGAGGGTCTCATGTCCTGGATCAGCGGTGCCGAAAGTTGCCGATTCAGGGCCTCTGTCTGGTATTGCAGCATTGCCCACATCGGGAAGGGTTGGGTTCGCCGGGTCACTGGCCAAAGTGCCCGTTCGTGGAGTCCGCGTTAGAGGGGCGTTGATTTGAAGGATGCTCTTCTGTCTTGGCCTCCCCTTCCCTGCGCCCAGCTGCTCTCGCCACCATCTCCGCATCACGCCTGGGCGCTGCGGAACATAGTCAAAACACGCTGCATTCTTCGGAATCCCCGCCTCTCGTGCCCCCGGGGGGCCCCAGGCGCGACTGTTCTCGGCCCTGGTGTTCCTTCATTGTTGTTGGTTTGTTGCTGCTTTTGTTGGTATTCCTTGCCCTGCCCCTGCCCGTCACGGAGGGACTTCTGCGAGGCCGCTACAAGAGGAGTTCTTTTGGACTTGAGGCCGTCACAAAAAGAATCAGCTTGTAATGCGCCAGAAGAAAAATCCTTGTGTAAGGCTGCTACAAGAAATCGTTCTGCAACCTCCCAGAAAGCATCCTGTTGTTTGGAATGGAGAAACTATCGAAACCTAGGTTTCGTGGATTCATTTGGTGGCCAGGGATGTGTTGTCGGTTTTTCTTTGGGTTTATTATGTTTGCGTTTGTTGGTTATCCCTGCCCTGGCCGCCACACAGGGCATCCTTTTGGTCAGGCCGCCACAACAATAATCCGTTCGTAAGGGCGCCGCGAAAACAATTCGTTTAGAAAGCCGACGCAAAATCATAGTGCTGTAACCCGAAGCAGAAGTAATTCTTGTGTAATCCGCCACATAAGCAAAAGGCTGCCACAAAAAGGAACCCTTCACTATCCCGCCACAACAGGAATCCAACTTTAGGTTTCGTTGTTTTTTCTTTGTGGTCAGGGGGGTTTTGTTTGGTGTTCCTTGGCTACTGCTGGTTCGGTTGCTACTGTTGCTTTTCCATGCCCTGCCCGTCATAGAGGGACTTAGTTTGTGAGGCCGCCAAAAAAAAGGATTTCCTCTGTGAGTCAGCCAGGAAAAACGATATAGCTGTAATTCGCCACAAGAGGAATCCTTATATGACCCTCCGCAAGATGGACCAATGTTTGAAGCAGCGTGCCGCTGCAAACGTACGTTGAGCTTTGCGTGGGAAAAGCAATATTGGGAAACCAATGTAAAGAGGGTGAATTGCCATTGGATCATCAAAATCACGAGAAGATAGATCACAGGGGTGCTTAGCATATACATAGATACAAACATACATATATGCATGAATGCATGCATGCATGTATGCATGCAAATATACATACATGTATGTCATGGTAGTCTGGCCCAGGTCTTGATTTTGTTGCGGCCCAGCCTTGTCCTGTCTTGTCAGGTTTCCTTGTTTGGCCATCATGTCCTATCTTAGACCTCATCATGCCTCGGCGTGTGATGCCCTCCGTTCCTTCTTCCGTCTCCCGTTTCTCCTAGTCACTTTATCATTTCTGTCGTGGTCCATGTCCTTCTTTTCCTCCTCGTTATCATCATCACAGTGTTCCTCGTCGGCAACCTTCACGTACCCACATACCCCGTTGGCCCATGCGCAGGTGTCAGAGGAGATGAGCAAAGTGCAGGTGGAGGGCGTGCCCAAGGATCGGTTCGCGAACAACGGGGGAGGAGGAATGAAGCGAGACATGGCGAGGAGGGGAAGAGCGAGGAGAGGGGGAGGAGGGCGGGAGGGGAGCATCGAGGTCTCCCTCCCTGCCCGCGCGTGTCTTTTTGTCAGTGCTCCAGGGGCCCCTGGGGGTCCTCCAGGGGCGCGCGGGGACCTCCGGAGACCCCTGGGAGTGCCAGGGGCCTCCAGAGACTTGAGGGCACGGAGAAGGGGGAAGGGGCGAGGGTACGGGGAGGAGAAGGGTGCGGGATGGCGGCGTGAGGGGCGGGGGCGGGGGTGGGGGGGGATGTGGCGGAGGTGGCTGCTTCCATGGCCCGAGGAAGGGGAAGGAAAGAAGGGGCTGCAGAGCTGGACGGGGAAGGGGAGTGTGAGGAGACCTGTGAGGGGAGGCGGAGTGGCAGGGGCAGGGGAAGGGGACGGAATGGTTGCAGACTTGATTTTGTTTCAACGTGGATCAAGGTGGATGTGCTTTTCGGCCGTTCTTATAAAAGTCCTACCCGGGAGAGGGAGAGAGAGATAAAGGGATAGAGAGAGAAAGAGAACGAAAGAGATCGAGAGAGAGAGAGATCGGGAGAGAGGGAGATGGCAAGAGAGAACGAGAGAGAGAGAGATGCCCCTGGCACGCTGGCACCACTGTGCACTGTTCAACTACAGTCGGAATATATAGTAAGGGTAGGTCACCTTCCCAAGAGTACCCCTGCATCCTTGCCTCGTCGGTCCATCCTTGACCACGTTCGATGGTCAGCCCCGCACGAAAAGCTGAGACGTGGGCGTTCAAGGGGCTTGCGTCCTTACCGCGCATCCTTACTATCAGTTTTAAGTGAATATCAAACCAGGGCTTCTCGGATCTGAGTAGGCCAAAAGACCCAAGAACTCTGCATGAGCTGGTGGGGCTCTCGGCGTTCCATCTGCCACCCTCATGACAGCGGGTGTGGGGGGTAGGGGGTGAGGGGGATTCGAAGCGCTGGTTCGAGTAACGATCGTGACACAGCGTGTCCAACGATTAGTCACTTGAGCGCCCAGTGACCAGCGTGAACAAGAGAGAAAGCGAAGTGCTGTCACATCAGGGCCAGCATGACGGAGGCAAGGGGCAGCGCATCGCCGTTGCCTTCAGCATTTACACGCATCCTTTCAGATCGGGGCTGTGGGGGGGCGCAACGGGGGAGAGAGTGAGCGCGGAGGGGGAGGCGGGAGAAGCGGGGGAAGGTGAGGGAAAAGGGGAGGATATCAATACCGCGTCCTCTGCACGCCTCTGGCCCTTTGTTTTTGTTGTTGGAGGGGGTGGGGGGAGATTGCGCAGAGAAGCCGCCAGCTTCGAACCTTGCCGAACCCTCCGCGTCGATGTCCTTGTCGCTGTCCGCTTCCTCCTCGTCCGTCCGCATGACGACACGTATGCGTTGGTGTTTGGCCGACCTCCTGCGCCTCTTCCGCAGTGTAAGTATGTTGCCAAGTTCTGCCAGTCCGTGATCGTCGTCGTCGTCGTCGCCCTCCCTCCTCCTCCTCCTCCGCATGCCTGCAGCTCATGAGTCACTCCGAGATCCAACGTGTCTCCCGGGTTCCAGCCCAACCGCTGTGCTCCCGCAGGGCCGTCCTGTACGTAGGTCGGCGCCTCGCGTCCTCCTCCCGCGCTTTCGGAGATCCTTGGAGGCACCCCCCCGGGCGGCGCTCTGAGCCCCCTCGAGGCCCGAAGTCGTCAGAAACATGTAGAATACTAGCTCCTCGAATTTCGACACCCCCCTCGGAGCGGCAAGAAGTGATGATGATGATGATGATGATGATGATGATGATGATGATGATGATGATGATGATGATGATGATGATGGTAGTGATGATGATGGTGATGATGACGATGACGAAGACGACGACGATGACGACGATGATGATGATGGTTATGCAGATGCTGATACTGATTATGCAGATGTTGATGATGGTTATGCTGATAGCGATGATAGTGATGACGACGATGACGACGACGATGAGGATGATGACGTTGATGCTGATGATGGTAACGAAGATGCTGATGACGATGATGAAGATGATGATGACGATGCTGATGATACTGATGATGATTACTACAATGATGATGGTGACTATGATGGTAAGGATGACAGTAGTAGTCATATTATCATTGATGGTGATGAGTATGGTAACGATGTCGTTGATGTTGGTGATAAGGATGGCATGTCTGATGTTGATGATGGTGATGGTGATTGATGATGGTGGCTGGGGGTGATGATGAAGATGTCGATTGTGAAGTTGATGCAGTTGCTGCTGATGACAACGGGCATGATGATGATGGTGAGGATGATGATGGCTGACATGATGATGAATCTGATGAGTATGATGATAATGCCGATGATGGTACGGATGATGAGGATGATGGTGGTAATGTGGATGATAATGATGATGATGAATATGATGATGATGATGATGATGATGATGAGGATGAGGATGAGGATGATGATGATGCTGACGATGATGATGTTGATGATGCTGATGATACTGATGATGTTGTTGATGATGGTGTTGATGATGATGATGGCGATGATGACGATGATGACGCTGCGGATGATGATGATGATGATGATGCTGCTGATGCTGATGCTGATGCTGATGCTGATGATGATGATTATGATGATGATGATAATGATGTTGCTGATGACGTTGATGATGATGATAGTCAGGATGAGGATGAGGATGATAATGATCAGGATGATGCTGCTGTTGCTGCTGCTGATGATGATGATGATGATGCGCTCCACGATGCTCAGGCGTTCCCGATGCCCCGCGCGGGATCCAGAGGCGAGGGCCGCCAGAAACTCTGGAACGTGCTCTGAACCAAATCGTCGCAGGCGGCCTTCTCTCCCCAAGAAAGAACAGCTCGGCGTGCAGGAGAGAAGACGAACTCGGACGTACGTTTCAATCAGACATGTCCCTCAACAGGAGGAATCTTAGCCCCGTAGCCATTTTGGCTCAAGGTTTTTTTGTTGCTCAAGCCCTGTCTCGAATCCCACCGCACCTGTGCATCAGCCACTGACCAATCCGCAACGCATCTTCGATTCGCGTCATCTCCGTCATGCGCGCGGCTGCGCTTCCTGCGTTGATCGTTGGCACCGTGCTACAGGCGACTCCAGTGCGTTCTCTTCGCGCGCCGCCCCCCCAGTCGCCCTTGTGGCAGGCCCTCTATCCAGAGACCGCGCCTTGTGAAGATCAGGAGGAGCCCGAGGACAGCGAGTTCGAGGTACGCGTGACTCCCGACGAGGTGAAGGCCCTCATTCCAGAGGGCGCAAGGAATGTTGCTTGTCCCAACCGTCTTGGTGTTAGAGGTGCCCGAAAGCTTTATGTCCATGATGCCACCGACGGGCTAGGTTCCAGGATCCTGAACGTCATCGGTGCTCTGAGGTACGCTGAGAAGATGAATGTTGGCTTCGGGGGGTTGGTCTCACTGGGGGGGGCACCATGGTCACACAGCGTGGATATCTCTGCCGGATTGCAGGCGTTTTTTGCGTGTGACCTATACGTTGACGCTCTGCCGCAAGATACGCAGGTATTCCCGACTGTCCAAGCTCTAAGTCAGCAGCTCGATAAGGGCGCAATTGCAAACGAGGCGCACATTTATGTAGAGAGCCGTGACGACTTCAAGGGGGCGAATTACGGCATCCAGATTTCTTCGACTCCATTGGCAGCATTGAGGGCCAGCAACGCACCTATCATGCAGATGCCCCTGGTTCGTTTCCAACCCCGCGACCTCAACGTTGCCGTTCATGTACGCCGGGGAGACGTGGATGATTGGGTCCCTGGGAGGGGTACGAGCCACGAGTATTACGTTTGGCTGATAAAAATCATGCGGAGCAAGGTGCCCTGCGCGAAATTCCACATCTTCAGCGAGCAGCGTCGGCGCAGCAACAACACCGACGAGTTCGACCAGTACAGCAAGTTGGGTGCCACTGTGAACCTGGACACAGAGGCAACTGAAACGCTTGCGCATTTTGCCAGGGCCGATGTCCTTGTGACTGCGAAGAGCAGCTTCTCATACGCTGCAGCCCTGTTGAACCCGAATTGTGTGCTTTACCAGAGGTGGATGTTGGCGGTGCCTGGGTGGGTGCCACTACCAAAGTCAGAAAATCTTGGAAACGACGCTACTGAAATGCTCAGTCAGCAGATCGGCAGCTGCATGTTGAGCATCGCAGCGCGGAAATATGGCGGACAGGAGTGAGCCAGGGTCCATACAGCGAGGTTTGCTCGCTCGTATGAGCCTTCCATTCGCGTGATTATCACAGCGCCCCTTCTCAGCATTGTATCACGATCAAGACGGAGGACTTCGACAAACTACAGCCAGGCCCTTCCCAATTGCGCCTGTTGGTTGTTTCGGAGTGCGCATCATGTTGTATAGTGACTGGTTACGGCGATGACCGAAGTGAAGCGCCGCATGCAACATAATTGCATGGTTGTTTTGCTTGGTTGGCCCCCGCTTAGCACGATATTTCATCACCTGGGGCGCATTTGGCGTCCCCAGGTGCCGCTGATTTGATCGGCGAGTGATTGTCGCGTCGATTGATGTCTTCGGCGTTCGGCTTGTTTGTCTGTCTCATTTGGTGGAGCATACCCGCGGAGCCATTTGAGCCTTTCCTAAGTCATATAACGCCAACGTCGTTACTTATAAGAAGCGGTGCCTGGTTGGAAAAAAACAGGAGGAATATTAGCCAGCGTTGACTCCAAATATATTAGCCGACTCAGATCAAGGAATCAGAGGAATCAAGCATGCTTAGAATCTGCAACTCAGCAAGCAAGCAAGCAAGCGTGCAAGCAAGCGCGCAAGCAAGCATACAAGCAATCGCGCAAGCAAGCGCGCAAGCAAGCAGGCATAGGCATGGGCGTAGGCATAGGAGTTGGGGGGGGAAGCATAGGCATAGGCATAGGTATAGCCATAGGACTTAGGGGGGGCATAGGAATCAGGGGGGGCGACGGACCAACTAGTAGGGTTTGAGCTAGGACTCCTAAAGGGCAAGCCGATTTGGAGAATATTCCGTCAAACATAAAGGAATAGTATCGGGATGATGTTTCTTGATGTTTGCTTGATCTCATGTTCTTGTTATGGGGATCTTGTTTCTTGATCTAGCAATTGTTTAAAGATTTGTCGATTTTCTCTTCGTCCAAAACATCTGCCCTTAGGAAGACGTGCCTCGGCGGCTCCGGAGCGAGCCCGTCGCGGGCGGCCGGGGCACGCGGGGGGCCGACGGAGCAGGGCGGGAGGGAGGGCGCGGGCGGGGAGGCCGGGAAGGCCGGGAAATCGGAGGTTGACAAACCTCCTACTCTGACACTCGGGTCGGGCGAAAGGGGGGGGATTGGGAAAGGGGGGGGTACGAAATTTGCTGCATGCAGCTGGTTTCGGCCCCACCGAGGGGCCCATTCCTCGATACATAGCCGCCTCCGGCGCCGGGAGGCGCCGGGAAAATCAGCTACGTGAGCTGATTCTCAACCCCCCCCTTTGCTATCCCCCCTTTTCGCCCGACCCGAGACACGTCGATTCAGGAATTGGCCGTTTTCGGTTCGCGAGAGGGCGTCGCGGCCGTCGTTTTTGCGGGCCCAGGTCCGTCGGTTTCGGTCCCAGGCTGTTTTCACTAAGGGGAGTTCTACTAAAGGGAGGTTTGTCCACCGCCGAAAGATGGAGCGGCAGGATTTTGGCAGTTTTCGGTCCCCGGGGGCCCTCGCCGGGCCTCGGGGCCGTCAAAAAACGACCCGGGACGAGAAACCGGCCCCGAGGAGGTGGTGCAGACCCACGGGGCCCACGCATCGAAAAAGTTGGAGCGGCCGGCTGTCCGGGGAGCCACGTTCAGGACGTGGAGCTCGGGGATGCACGCCCAGGGGGGGGGGACTGTTCGGGCGGCGCGCCCCTCTCGAGGACGGACGTCCCCCCGCCTGTTCGCCGAAGAGAAAAGACTGCACGAACAGAAACAGCAGAGTTCTCAGAGTTCCTGCGCGGAACAGAAAAGAACAGCAGCTCCTCCCTCTGAGCAGAACAGCAGCAGAAACAACATGACATAACAGAAACAACAACACCTCCTCCCTGTTTCTGCAACAATCAAGGGAGGAAAAACCACCCGGACCGGACAATTGGCGTTTACTAAACGGCCCTGGGCGTTTACTAAACATCCCTGCCCCGTTCGATTCCTTTTTTGGGTGCGTTTACTAAACTGCTTCGCGTGTCGGGGTGGTTATTGTCGGGGTGGATTTTCTGCCCTCTAAACAACAGAAACGACAGAACGAACGGAAGCAACAGCAGCTCCTGCCCTCGGAGGTCCCGCGCGGAGCTCTCGGAGGGCGCTGGGCGCCCCCCCCCCCCTGGCGGAGCCTCGAGGCGCCGCCCACTGGCGCCCTCCGCGCGCGGAGCGGGGGAGGTCGAGCGCCGATCCAGGAGGAGTCCGCGCGGACCTCCTCCTCCTCCTCCTCCTGCTCCTGCTCCTCCTCCTCCTCCTCCTCCTCCTCCTCCCCCTCCTCCTCCTCCTCCTCCTCCTCCTCCTCCTCCTCCTCCTGTGCCCAGGTTTGGATCCAGGCGAGAGGCAGGGCAGGAAAAAGGTGCCCATAATTACCTCTACCCTTCCCTCGTGTTCCCCTTTTTGGGGCCTCCTGTGGGAGGCCCTCGTCGCCACCGCTGGACTCGCCTCGAAATTCTTGTCAGAACGCACCATGGGAGAAGTCCGGGGAGTAGCGGCATCGATACCTTTCGGTTTCCCCAGAAAGTCTTTCAGAGTCGACATGAGAGGTCACACTACCCCCCCCCCGTCAGATCGCATCGTGACACCACGTGGCGCCATCATCGCCCCACCTCCTCCGCTCAGCTATCCGCCCGATCGCTTGAAGCGGCCAGCGCATTTCTGCGACTCGTCCTTGACGTGGCAGTTGCTTCAAGCCGATAGTTGGGCATGCAGTTCTCGCTTCCCCGTTTTGTTTTCGGGCGCCAGCGCGACGGTTTTCCAACGACACGGGCGACGGTTTGGAACGAAGCGGGCTGCTTGGGGGACTTCGCCGTTTTCGTGATTTCCATCGTTTTCAATTCAGGCGGCGTTCAAATCAAAAGCGACGTCTTGTTCGCGCTCTGGTTGCTTCTCCCTCCTAACCCCCGAAGAGGACAGCAAGATCGCCGGCATCCTGGGCACCTCCGGTGCGCACGAGGCTTTCCGCGACGACTCGCCAGACAGGAAGCACAAGCCTCTGCAGAGGCCCCCACGGGAAACGAAGCTCCTCGCGAGCTCGTTTCGGGGATCCCTGCCACTCCTCCCCCATCGCTCCCCTCCCTCCCCTCCTACCCCCCCTTATCAATGATCTGTCTCCTCGTGCCCCACCTCGCCCTCCCTTGCTCTCCCCCGTTCTCTCCCTGGTCCGCCCAGGACTCCTCCTGCTCCTCCGCCTCTCATTATCAGTCCCCCCCCTGCGCCCCTACCTTCATCTTCCGCTTCCGTCCCTCATGCTCCTCCCCTTCTATCCAAGCGTACCATTTAGAAGTGGAGGGAATACCCCTCGAGATTGGAGAGGAATCATCTCCCAAAGTTGTAGGTGCCTGATATTGCTTCCCAATCGTTCCGAATGTGTTTTTCTTAGGCGGACCTTGGGAGCGATTCGCCGGACGGGTCAGTCCTCTCCCTTCTCCGCCTCCTCCTCCCTCCTCCTCCTCTCTCCTCCTCCTCCTCCTCCTCCTCCTCCTCCTCCTCCTCCTCCTCCTCCTCCTCCTCTTTTCCCTCCTCATCCTCATCCTCCTCCTCCTCCTCCTCCTCCCTCCTAGCAGGGCTGCGTGTCCGAGTGCTGGTGTGGTGCCAGGGTCAGTGCTGCTCCGCAGAGAGCGGTGCTGGGCAGAGTGTCGAGAAGTGGCATACAGTGCGTCTCCGAACCCTTGCGAGTGCTCGGCCGCACTGCTTGCGAAGTCAGGCTCGGTCGGTTGAGAGACCAGTTGTGTTCCCAGAGTTCCAGTTCAGCCCCTCCTCCCCCCGAGAAGACAGAAGCACGTATTCGACGCGGATCTTGTTGTTTTCTGGCGAGATCTTTGCGTGTGCGCTTTGGAGTCTGAGCCAGGCTGGGCGACCGAGTGCGAGTGGATCTGATTGTACGCATGTCTGGGCACGGGTGAGCCACGAGGCCCGTGATACTTTTTGGTCGATTCCCCTTTGGGTTGCCCGAGCGCAGTGACTGCTGCATCGCGAACTGCATGAAGCTATGGCAGCACACATGCCCACCTCCCAAAGCAAGCGAAACGCTCGACGCACTTGCTCGGCTCCTCCCGAAAGTCGCCCCACGATTTGGGGGCGAGCGGGCTGATGCAGCATTCCTGGTCGGCTCACGCTGGGGGCACCCAAGTGCTACACTTGCGATGTCGCGAGGATCGTGGGGCTCTGAAAATAGAAAGTCACCTGCCAAAGCAAGCGAAGCTCTCGAACCAGCCCAGAAACCTGGGCGCGAACGGGCCCGTGCAACACCCTCGGTCGGCTCCCCCTTGGGGTGCCCAAGTGCTTTGCTTGCTACATCGCGGGGATCACGACGCTCTGGGAAGGGACACGTCGACCTTCGAAACCAATCGAAGCGCGCGAGCCTGCGAACGGGCCCGTGCAACACTCTTGGTCGGCTCCCACTTGAGGTGCCCAGGTATTCTGCCTGCCACATCGCTGTGATAAGGAGGCTCTGAGAAGGGGCACGCCCACCGCCTGAAGCAAGCGAAGCGCTCGCTCGAACCGTCCCCACAAATCTGGGCGCGAACGGGACCGTGCAACACCCTTGGTCGGCTGCCACTTTGGGCGACCAAGTGCGATGCCGATGCCTGCTACATCGCGAGGGTCATGAGGCTCTGAAAAGAGACACGGTGAGCTCCCAAAACAAGCGGAGCGCGCTCGAGACATCCCCGCAATTTGGGCGGGAACGGGCCCGTGCAATACTTTTTGTCGGCTTCCCCTTCGGGGGCCCATGTGCTATGCCTGCGACATCGCCGGGATCATGAGGCTTCGTCATGGTGCTCGTCGGCCTTCAGGGCAAGCGAAGCGCTCAGGTCACCCCCACAACATGGACGCGAACGGGCCTGTTCAACACCCTCGGTCGGCACCCCCTTGGGGTGTCCAAGTGCTTTGCTTGCTACATCGGGAGGATCATGAGGCCCTGGAAACAGACACGGTGAGCTCCCAAAACAAGCGATGCGTTCGAGATATCCCCGCAATCTGAGCGCGAACGGGTCCGTGCAACTCCCTTGGTCGGCTCCCCCTTGATGTGCCCAAGTACTCTGCCTGCTACATCGCGGGGATCACGAGGCTCTGAAATGGGACTGGCCCGCCTTCCAAAATAAGCGGAGCGGTCGAGACATCCCCGCAACGTTGTGCGCGAACGGGCCCAATGAAATACCCCCCTAGCGGCGGCCCCCTTTTGGGTGCACGTGTACAAGATGCTTCATCGCGGCGAGCATGGTGGGAGAGTCTGAGTAGCAGTGCATCTGAGCGTGAGCAGTCTGAGTATGATTGAGTCTGCATGCAATTGCGTCTGGGTGCGAATGGACTTAAGTTTGGCCTCCGCAGGACGGTGATCCTCTCGGCGATGGTGATAATACTTGGGCTTCCTGGGTGGCCGAACCATTACCACCAACGCCACAGCCTAGGATCATCTTCCCCCAGTGAGGGTAACCCCCTGCTGTGGCGTCGGTGTTCTTTCTCCGAGCTCCGGGAGGTGGTCCCGGCTTGGCCTGGCACGATCTCGAGGACCAAGCAATGACATGCCGCACAACAACTCGGAGGTCTGTGCGCATTCCTCTGATCGGCGCTGGACCCCCCTCCTTGGCACGCGGAGCGCGCCAGGGGCGGCACCGGAGGCTCCAATTCTTCCCCCTCCCCCCTCACTTTCCCCTGCCCTTAACTCGGGCCTGTCCCTCTACAAGGGGAATATTCAAAAATAGTCAAAAAATAGTCGGGGGACTATTTTTCGAGTATGTTTGGGCATCTCTTGACTGATTTTTGAATATGTTTGATTGTTCGTCGAAAATCCCCCTGTATAACCCTGCCCCCGGGTGGCGAGGCGGGCGGGTGAGGCACGCGCGGCGGGCGCGTTCCTGCCTGCCGCCGCCGTTGTCGGTGTCGCCACTGTCGTCGCCGCCCGTCGTGCGAGGACCCTCGGGGCGCGTGTCGGCCCAACTTGCGCTTCCGGCCGGGGGTCCGATGTGCCCCAGCATTGGTTCGAGGTGGGTTCGAGGGGGGTCAAGGTTCGAGGCGTTGGGAGGTCGAGGCTCGCGGCGTTGGGCGAGTTGCCAGCACGAGGGGGGGTCGAGTTTCGAGGCGTTGGGCTCGAGAAGGCTGTGTGAGTTTTGTTCTGCCTCCCAGGGCTTTCTTTTCCGGCGGGGCCGTCGAACACGGATGCGGGGTGACAAATTGTACCACATGGACCCCAGGAGGGGTCGGGGTATCGATTTTGAGCGGATTTGGCTTTACCCCACCTCCTGGCAAATTCTCTGGCCGCCTCGAAGTCCGGGCCACCGACAGCTCACTGTCCTGCGCCGCATCGAAGGGTTTCGATGGGCAAGCACACGCTTGCGGTAGGGTGAGTGGACACAGAGTGTCCACGCCCATCGCGCCAAGACAACGCCACGACGAAGTGCATCCAACAAATCGATAGCCCCCTCCCCTCCCCCAACCAAAAGTTGACAGCGGTGCGCGCAAGGCAACGCGCGAAGGTCAAAAAGTGGACGCCTCAACTTTTGGCTTGGAGGTGAGGGGGGCCTGGACATGCGTTGTACAAAATGTTACCCAACGTCAAGTGATAGTGTATTCGTGCCATGGGTGTGGACACTTGTTGTCTGACCACCGTAATACACGTTCTGCAGGTCATCAAGTCGCCGTCGTCGCTGTCGTCGCTGTCGTCTCTGCCGACTCCGCCGCCATCCGTTGCCGCTGCCGCCATCCGTCGCCATTCGACGCCCCCCCCCGAGACTTGACGCCGGGTCGTCGTCGTCGTGGTCGTGTTCGTTTTCGTCGTCGTTGTCATTGTCATCGTCGTCGTCGTCGTCGTCGAAGTCGTCGTCATGGTCGTCGGTGTGGTCGTCGTCGGCATCGTCGTCGTCGTCATCGTCATCGTCGTGGTCGTCGTCGTCGTTTCTGTGGTCATCGTCGTCGTCGTCGCCGCCGCTCGCCGTCGCGCCCGCCGGAGGCTCGACGGCGCTGGGGGGCCTGGCGAGGCCAAGCTCAGGGACGACGAGATGCGCCGCCTGATCCAGCAGGCTCGCCGGCGTCGTCGCCGCCGCTGCCAGCGCTCAGGAGGGAAAGAGGACGGGCACCAAGAAACGTCGACTCAGAGCCCCGAATTATCAGGGATAACTCGGGCGTCCAGAGCCCCGAATCATCAGGGGTAACTCGGGTCAGGGCTAACTCGGGTTCGTTTTTCGGGGTTCCGAACCCGAGTTACCCCGGACCCGAGTTACCCCGGATAACTCGGGCGTCCAAAAACGTCGACGCCCATGAAGATGTCGGAAAGCGTGGCGGGGAAGACGACGATCCAGAATTCGTATCTCTTGTTTGTGCCTCCCCGGGCCCCTTGTCAGCGCGCGCGCGCGCGCGGGAGCGCGCGGCGCCCGCGCACGGCGCGGCGAGGTGCGGGGTCTTCTGGGGGGCGGATCCCCGGGAGGCCTCCCCAGCGGCTGCCCCTGCCCAGCGGCGCTCTTCGGGGCGCCACGGTCCGCGCCGATCCGATCGATCCGACTCGATGCTCCACGCCTGGTCCTGCGTCGCTCGGCCGGTGCCGTGGGGCAGTCGCGGACGGTGCCGCCGCCAAGTTCCAGAGGCTCCGCGTGCCGGCCCGTCCAGAAACGGAGCCCGGGCGAGTTTCCTGATCAGGCGCGTGGGGAAGCATGCAGTGGACTCCGTCGTACCCCAAGGGGGGGAGGATGGAGGAGAAACTAGAGGAGGAGGAGGAGGAGGAGGAGGAGGAGGAGGAGGAGGAGGAGGGGGAGGAGGGGGAGGAGGAGGAGGAGGGAGAGGGGGAGGAGGGGGAGGAGGAGTGTTCTCTCGGGAAGGCTCCTCGGACGTGCGGGGCGCACCATCACCACAGCAGAGGCTCGAAGGGCAAGGAAGGGCTCGAAGGGTCTGAATGGCATTCAGAATTTTACGGTTTAGGGTGCGAACAACAGTGCATATAACAGATTCGAGACGTTCCAGGAAGGGCTTTGCCTTCGAGGATCGAAGGAATTCTCGTCTCTTTCTCGATTGAAGGCGGCGGAAGGTTGGCGGATGTAAAACAAGGCCGCCTCCGCCGGCGGAAGCTCGGCGGAAGGCGGCGGAAGTAAACGATGCGCCCCCCAAGATATGAGCATGTTTTTGAGTGCAGGGTTTCCGGAGTCCGCCACATGCTTTGCCTCCGTCGGGGGGACGCTCCCCCCAGGACGGTTGGACAGGTTCTGCCGCTGCAGCAGCACGTCGGGGCATCAGCTGTCAAGCCGCCTGGGCAGGCGTCGCCGACCACGGAAAAGTGGATGTGTTATTGGTCCTCGCAGGCTGAACAAGACAGGAGGTGGACAGAACCCCCAACAGTGACACGTCGATTAGTGAATTGTCCGTTTTCGGTGTTCGCGAGGGCGCCGTGGCCGTTATTCTCCAGGCTTGCGCCCGCCAGGTTTGGGCCTCAGGCCGTTCTCACTGAACCACGTTCTGCTGAAGGGGGGTCTGTCCATCCCCGAAATAATACAGGAGGCAGGGGCATGACCTGGGAGGGTTCTGACCCCCCCCCGCGCACGCCAGATAATTCGCCTCTCGGTTGCCCCGCTCAGCCCACATCACGCCGGTGCGGACCGGCTCCGCCCGGCGGCCGACGCCAAAAGTACAGCCTCGCAGTTCGGAGCAGCCGGCACGCCGCCTGCTCCGGCGTGCCCCTCGGCCGGCCCCCCCCCGCCGAGGGCCGCGCGCCCGAGGGGGGCGCCGCCCGGGCCACGGCGCCGCCGTTGGGGGGTCTCGCCCCGTGCGGCGGAGGCGTCCACGTTCGGATCTCTCGGAGCTGCGCTGGACGTGCCGCCAGTGGGGTCCAGCGCCGAGCTGAGAGATCCTCGCCGCCCTCCGAAAGTTTGTGACTGCGCCGGACGGGCAGCGGGGACGAATCGAAGCTCGAAGGGCGGGACTGGAGTCCCCGCCCCGTCGCGTCGGGGCAGGGCATGCGTGTCGCCCGCAGGTGCCTACGGACAAAGCGAAGGCGTTTGCCTATAGCATCGACTGGTCAAGTGTGGTTGAGCACAATATCATCGAGAAGAAGTTGCGGCCTTGGGTGAAGAAGAAGGCCTGTGCGAGGAAGGGGAGAGAAGGGGAGGGGTGGTTGAGGGAGGAGATAGGGTGGGAGGGACGGAGGTAGGGGGGAAGGACGGAATAGGGAGGGAGGAGGAAGCAAAGACGGGAAACGGCAGACGTAGGAGGAGGAGGAGGAGAAGGAGGAGGAGGAGGAGGAGCGAAGAGTTGAAGAAGGAGCAGCAGAAAAACGAGGAGGAGGAGGAAGAGGTATAGCAGCAGAAGCAGGAGGAGCAAGTGAGGCAGCATGAGCAGTACGAGGAGAAGCAGCCGGGAAAACAACTAGCATCAGCACCCGCAGCAGGAACAACTGGAAAAGAGCCGGAGCAGGAGCAGGGCCAGCAGGATGCTTACACGGAGGATTACGATATTGGATATGAGGAGGGGAGTGTAGTCTGAAGAGATGAAGGGGGGAGAGAAAATGAGGCTCGGGCGGGAGGTTCGAGGATCGACTTGTTTGGACGTCTTCAGGAATTGCTGGGCCTCCTGGGGGTGCCTTGGGATCTCCAGAGAGGGAGCGGGACACCGGTTTGTCGGCCGTGCATCTTCTGGTCTGGCATTGCAATAGGGCCCGCGATTTTCCTATCGAAGGTTCGATGTACACACCACTTCGTTTTGACTGTCGGGGGTCAAGGAATTCGGCGCAGGATGTCGGTCCATAGGCGCTGCAACACTCCACAGCCTGGGAAGCTTGGGCATCTCTCATTTGGGGACATGAAGTATCTACCCCGTGTCGCTTCCATCCACGGCGTGGTCTCGGCTTTCCGGGGCCCCGCGCAGCAGACTGCAGCCTGATGGAGGCAACGCGCTGAACACTCGTGGCGCTAACCAACTCCCCTTTCGGTAATGGGAAGGTTGGTGTTCGTGTGCATGCGGCAAGTCCCAGCACTGCCGAAGCAATCTGTCTGGCCAACCCTCGAGCTCGGCCCTGGAGGTCGTAATGAGTCACACTTCTCGTCTCCATGTCTTGAGGGGCTTTCACGGGCCCCAGTTGGTGGGGCTCTCCTGGGGTCCTCGAGGCCGCCCTGGGGGCCTCCTGGGACCAACTTGGGCCGACTTGGGGCCGTCTTGAGGCCCACCATGGCTGTCAGTGGAGTCTCTGGGGGGCTGTCTTGGGGCCATCTCGGGCCGTCTTGGGGGCCCTCCCTCCTGGGCCGCCTGGGGGACCTCTCGGGATTGTCCCGTCCTGGGCCTCCCTGGAGCCCCAGGGGGGGCTTGCAGCCGTCTTGGGCGCTCTGACCCCTCGGCGGCCCCCGTCGGGGCCCTGGGAGGAGGCCTTCCCTGCACGGAGAGGGCGAGCCCCTCCAGTCCACCCCAGGGCACAGGACCGTCGCGCGGGCGCATGCAGGGCGGTCCCGGCGAGGCAGGAGAAGTGGCGGGCGGCATGCATACACGGCAGGTTCGTGTCGTGACGACCTTGGCGTTGGTTTCTGACACCGCGTGGATCGTTCAACCTCGAACGATCGGCGGCTTTTCGATCGCCCGATCGTTCCATGTAGGCCGATTCTGGGCCACTGGCGGCGTTGAACCTTGAACGCCCGCGGCGGGGTCGCCGCACGTTCGTGTCGTGTCGACCGGCGGCGACCCCGTCAGCGGCGATCAGCTTTGAGGCCGCGGGCGACCCAGCATCCTTCGACGTGGAACGACTTGGGCGTTTCGGGGGCGCCCGATCGTTCCAGGTGGAGCGACCCCCGCGGTGTCGGGAACCAACGCCCGGGTCGACACGACACGAACCCATGATAGCGAGAGAGAGAGAGAGATATACATATATATATATAAATACATATCTATATACATATATATATATATATATATGTAGCACACCAGCGCTGCTGCGCTGAGGCCTCGCACGGGGGCCACGGCACGGCCCGGAGGGGGCCCGGAGTCTCTCAGAGTCGGGGCCTTTGAGAGGCCACATCTCGACTAGACGTAAGAGTGACCCTTCGCTGGAGTGACCTTTTGGTGCGCGCTCACTGGGGTCGCCGATCGCCGTGCTCGTTGCGATATTAGCGTCTTGCGCCCTTGTGTTTGGCATCCTCGCGCCCCCCAAAACGCCGCGCACCAAAGGTCACTCTGACCCAGGGTCACTCTTGCATGTAGCCGAATCTCTTCTTAGGGACGCGCAGTACGAGCCTCTGCAGGCGTCGTGTGCCTTTTCGGCGCCTTCGCCTCCAGCGGGCGCTCGAGGCCTCCAGAGGGCCGCGGGACAGCCCAAGTTGAGGCTTCGGGAAGAGCCCAAGACGGCCCCAGAGGCCCGCGAGGGGCTGCCAGGATGGCCCCAGAGCAGCCTCGAGAGGGCGCCAGCCAGATCTCTCCAGGTCGCTGGAAGCCAACCAGGACTCGCGACCCTCGAGATGCAAGCCGTGGAAAGCAGTTGGTGCTGATTGGTGTTAGCCTTCTTGCTCCATGAGACTGGCGTGCGCTGTGCTGAGCATTGCCTTGGGAGGCAAGGTGGCCTCCAAGATGGGCTCGAAGATGAGAGAATGTTTTGCCAACATGTTCGGAGGAGAGAGGAGGAAGTGAGAAGGAGGAGACCTTCTCAGAAGGCGGCGGGGCTTCTCAGAAGCCCCGCGGCCTTCTGAGAAGCTGTCTGTGTTTTCAGGGAAGGCTCAGAGGACTTCTCAGAAGGGCGGGCGACTTCCGAGCAGTCTGAGAAAGCCCGCCCTCTCTCACTTTCACCCCAGGTTGGTCGTCGAAATATAGTGCAAGAGGGCTTCTGCCAGGCATTGAAAAGGCCTCCAGACCGTCACAAAAAGGCCCGAGGTGGCCACGGAGCCACTCCAGACGTGCCCCTGATATGTCAAAATTACCGAGCAAAACAATTACATGATATGAGCCTCAGTCGCGGTTTCGTTCCCGATGGTGGGGTCCTGCGGCCGATGGCCTCAAGACAGCCTCAGAGAGGCTCCCGGAGAGGCCGCATGTTGGAGCCCCTGGGGCCCGCTGGGCCTCGTGAGGGGGGTGATCCGGAGGCCGTGGGGGCCTGCTTGGAAGTCCTGGAGAGCACCTTGGGCCAGGGGCACTTCTAGCATTCAGCTCGGCCTGCCCCTCTACAGGAGGAGGGCTCAAAAACAGTATTTGAAGAAGTCTGGGAACGAGTTTCTGATTAATGCTTGACTCTGCTTGAATATGTTCGAGGTGCTTATTATCTTTCGTATCGACTATGTTTGAATATGTTCGTAATTATTTTGAATATGTTTGAAGATGTTCCAAAATCCGTCCGGTAGGAGGACGTGCCCGACCTGATTCCAGCAGCACCCGACCCTCTGGGCCCCCACGAGCGGCTGCGGCGTGGATGGGTGCGGCCGAGCGCTTGCGGAGTGAAGGAGGAGGGTGGCAAACATGGATCAAGGGGGCGTGGATCAGCGACGGGTCCCCTTTCCAAGAGGTCCTCCAGGGGTCCTCGCGAAGGTCTCTGGAGAGGTTGGGGTTGCGCAGGCGGCGTGGACGAGCTGCCAGGCTGGGGCCTGGATCGGTGAGGCGGTCGGGGGGCTGTTTCTTTTTTCAGGCGATCGCAAGCACAGATTAAGGGGGCTTGGATTTGCGACGGGTCCCGTTTCCATGGGAGATCGCGGATTTCCGCCGCCGAGCGAGGCGGCACCGGCCGCATTTTGGGGAGGGCACCTGTCCTGATCCATGGATTAGGCGACCGCGGGCTAAATCTATGGATCGCTGATCCATGTTTGCGCGCCCCCGACACACGTTGTCGTGAGTCGGGCCTGTCCCTCTACAGGAGGAATGTTCAACAATAGTCTGAAAATATTTTGGGGACGATTTGTTTGACTATTCTTGACTACTTTTGAACATTTGTTGGCTACTTTCTATTCTTCGCCCAGAATCCGCCTGTAGGAGGACAAGCCCGACCTAAACGTTGTCCTTCACCGCCCACCACACCACCCCAACCCAACCCGAAAGCCCCGATGTGCCCTCCATTTCCAGTGGGGGGGGGGTCGGGGAACACTGAGCAACAAAAACAGATGAAGCCCGTCCCCCCCCCCCCCCCGAAATTGGGTCTTCGGGTTCGGTTGGGGTGGTCTGGTAGGTAGTCAGTCCTGGCTCGTCGTCGTCGCCGTCGAGCCGCCGGGCCGCAGCCAGCGCCCCAGACGGGAAGCAGCCACGTTTGGTTGATTCATCCCTGCCCATGTTTCACTAAACTCAAGTCGGGCATGCCCCTCTACAGGAGGAAAATTCACAAATAGTCAAAAGAACAGTCAGTGGACGATGTTCGACTATGTCTGACCATGTTGGAATATTTTGTGACTATGTTTCATTTCTCTTGCAAGATCCGCCTGTGAGAGAAAAGGCCCAACCTAACACCAGCCGCTGGGACGCAATAGATCAAGAGCGGCCCGCGAGGTCAATGAGTATTTGGGGGCCGAGGAGCAGGGGATGGTGGAGTTCATCATGCGGAAGGTCGGCGCCAGGGCCGACCCGAACAGCATCCTGGCGGAGCTCGAGGGCTTCCTGGACGAGGAGCCTGCAAACCCGCCCTTTGAGCCCGAAGGTTCGGGCGTGGCATTTGTGTTGTTGTTCTTGATGTTGTTGTTGTAGTTGTTGAACTCTCATTTCTGAAGAATAAGTATTGTTGATCCCCCCCCACCGGTGCATATTTTTGTTTTCTCAATCAAAGTGTGCCCCTCGACGATCGCACCTTGTTTTTATCAGGGAAAGTCTTAAGGCTCAAACTGGGCCCCGGGCCCCTGGGTTACAACAACAACGGCTCCCGCCTGAGACTTCCTCGCAATTTAGCCAGGACCCCCGCTCCCGCCCGAGACTTCCTCGCATTAAATTCAGGAATCGCGCTTTCGCTTGGGACTTCCTTACAATTTTTTCAGGAATCGCTCTCCCGGCGCTCTGTAGTCGCGCTCTCGCTGGAGACTTGCTTGAAATTTACTGAAGAATAGCGCCCTTGCGTTGGCATTACTTGCAATTTACTCAAGCGCCGCGCTCCCGACACCCAGGCACCCAGGAGTCGCGCTCACGCTTACGATTCCCTCACAGATGACTTAGGAATTGGGATCTCGCTGCCCTTCATGGCCCCGTTGCAGCCCTTCGTGGCCCCCTCGCTTTGTTTCGCGGCACCGTTGCAGCGCTTCGTGGCCCCCTCGCTGCCCTTCGCGGCCCCATTGCAGCCCCTCGTGGCCTCCTCGCTGCCCTTCGTGGCCCCGTTGCAGCGCTTAGTGGCCCCCTCGCTGCCCTTCGTGGCCCCGTCGCAGCCCTTCGTGGCCCCCTCGCTGCCCTTCGTGGCCCCGTCGCAGTTGTGGCCCCATCCCTTCGTGGCCCCCTCGCTGCCCTTCGTGGCCCCATATATGTATGCCCTTCGTGGCCCCGCTCGTTCGCGCCCGTGGTGGCCCCATATGCATGCCCTTCGTGGCCCCGCTGTCGCCCTTCGTGGCCCCCTCGCTGCCCTTCGTGGCCCCGTTGCTGGCCTCAGTGGCCCCGTCCTTGCCCTCCTCGGCCCAGTATACGTATGCCCTTCGTGGCCCCCGCTCGTTCGCGCCCGTTGTGGCCCCATGTGCATGCCCTTCGTGGCTCCGCTGTCGCCGTTTGTGGCCCCCTCACTGTCCTACGTGGCCCAGTTGCTACCGTCAGTGGCCCCATCGTTGCCTTCTGTGGCCCGCATTATCTGCTTTTCTGTGGCCCGCATTATCTGCTCGTTCGCGCTCTTCGTGGCCCCATACCCATTCTCTTCGTCTTCCCGCTGTCGCCCTTCGTGGCCCACTTCGTGTCCTTGTGGCCCTGCTGTCGTTCTCTCTCGCTCTCGCTTTCGCTCGTCCTCGCCGTCGTCGTCGTCGCCGTCGTCGTCGACGTCGTCGTCGTCGTGGTCTTTCTCCTGTCCGTCCCTCTTGGGGTCGGGTCGACGGTCCGCGGCCGCCCCGCCGATCAGCGCTGCCGCTGGCCAGGCCGACGGTCCGCGGCCGCCCCGCCGCTTGCCGGGGCCCGGCCTGCAGGGACGAAAAGTATACCCCCCAAAAGGGGTTCGATCGAAGGCGAAGAGGGCGGGTATCGAGGGTTTGGGAAATAGGCGTTATTGGACTTTCGAGCAGATAAAGGCGAACAGTCTTAAAACGATTGTTGTTGTTGTTGGTGTTGTTGTTGTTGTTGCTGTTGTTGTTGTCGTTGTTGTCGTTGTCGTCGTTGTCGTTGTTGCCGTTGTTGTTGATTTTGTTATTGTTGGTGGTGGTGTTGTTGTTGATGTTGTTGTCGTTGTTGTTGAACTCTCACTTCTGAAGAAGAATTATTGCTGATCCCCCCTCACCGGTGCATCTTGTTTTTCTCAATCAAAGTGTGCCCTCGACGCTCGCACCCTGTTTTTTGACATGGAAACTCTTCCTGGTCAAACTGGGCCCTTGGCCCCCCAGACTACAACAACAACGGCTCCCGCCTCAGACTTCCTCCCAATTTTATTGAGGACCCCCCCCTCCCGTCTGAGACTTCTCCCAATTTACTCAGGAACGGCGCTCCCGCTTGAGACTTCCTCACAATTTAGTCCGGGTCAAACTGCGTTGATGCTTCCCTGGACCAGAACAACAACGGCTCCCGCTTGAGACTTCCTCCAACTTTATTCAGGACCCCCGCTCCCGCCTGAGACGTCCTCCCAATTTACTCAGGATCGACGCTCCCGCGTGTGACTTCCTCGCAATTTAGTCAGGACCCCCCTCCCGTCACGGCGCTCCCGCTTAAGATTTTCTTGCGCTTTGGTCTAGACCCCCGTTCCCGCCAGACATTCTTTTTTCAGGAATTGCGTTCTCGCTTGTGATTTTTTCGCAGTTCATTCATAAGTCGCGCTATCTACGCTCAGGCACCACGCTCGCGCCAAGGACGCCGTCACCCTTTACTTAGGAGTCGCGCTCTCGCCCTACTCAGGCATCCCGCTTGAATGTCCCACCCGCCCGACCCGCCCGTCACAGGATCGCCCGCCTGTCGTGGGCTGCCGACCGAGACTTCCTTGTGGAATGGCGATTTCGCCTAGGACTTTTCGAACGTTCGCACTCTTACCTTCCTGTTCCTCCCTCCTCCCGGGCCGCCTCCCCCCTCCTTCCAATTCCTTCTCCCTCGGGCGTCAGCGGATGTCTAATTTTCATTCCTCAAGAATGATTTCTGTTGGTCCCCCCCACCGGTGCGCAGTGTTATTTCTCAGTCAAAGAACGCCCCTCCACCTCGCCGAGCAGCACCAGAGGTGTTACATGGCGCTGTTTATGGCGCGACCCATGGCGAAGCCTTTGTCAACGTGTGTTGGAATGGCTGGCGCAAGCCATGGCGCAAGTTGAATTGCAACTCACGGCACAAATCATCGTCGTTCCCCCCTCTTGCCCCTGTAATCCTTCCATTCCTCCGATCCTTTCGTCCTCTCTGTTTGCCTTTTACCTTTCGTTTCCCTGTTTAGGGGCTTCTCCGATTACACGTGGCCAGGA